GGTGGTTCCAAGGAGGGTGAATAGCAAAAATCTTAGAACCAACTCCCAATACTTTTCTTGTATATCTTGTTCATTCTAATTGAATGGGTATTTCTCGCTGTCAATTGTTATTGTCATCTATCCATTTTCTTTCTATTTGTCAGTGCAATGTAATGCAGTATATGCGTAGGTGTAGGTGATATTAGCATATCAAATTTTACATCAAATTCATTCTCTTTAAACATTATCCTAAAAGTAATAATTTCCCGGCGTGTGAAAAGCTTATTTGTTCATCTGGAACTTGACTAGTTTACAGAAAGAGGAACAATGTAGAGAATAGCACAAAGTCGTATATTTCATCTCTTTTAAGCCAGGGAATATACAGCAGCTCCTGAATATCTATTTCGCGGCTAAACACAACATACACTGAAGAAATACATGTCCGATGGTCTTAGACGTCAAAATAACATAGGAAATCCGAGGTCAAAACGAGGCTGCCAAGCTGACACCTTTTTCGGGATGGAAGCAAAGCAAGATGCAATCGGAAGCAGAGGCTGCTACAGCGGGGTGAGGGAAAGTAGCTTCTCCAACGGTGATATTCGGAGAGCTGGCCATCTCCCGGACGATGGTGTACAGGCAGATAGGGTGGGAAGAGGAGGGCGCCCAGGACGACAAAAATACACCGGAAATACACGGAAAGCTCCATTGCTGAAGGGAATTAAAGGTGTAAATGTTAGCCCTATTCAATATTTCACGTCAATTATTTAGATATTTGTTTATAGAGAGCAGTGTCCTAGACGTCATATTTCATGTTCAGATTCTATATCATTATTTACATCTCACATATGACAGACAAATTATCCATAAAACGGCGAGGAGCGGCCGCGTGACCTGCGATATGTGGGGGTGGATATCCCTACATGATGTTGGCGAAACGGGGAAAAAGCCTCTTAGACAAATATATCGAACTGTTAGAAGAAAAAAAATCCTCCCATCAGTACGTTGTTATGCCTTGGCCCTTCCCAGAAACAATGAGGATAACTGCCCTAAACACACGTCCAGGGCAGTTACGAAGTGGTTCCCTGACTAACACCTCGTGGAGCTCCTTCGATGGCCAAGCGAGGGATGTCGCTCAAACCCGACGAAAAATGTTTGGCCGAATATTGCCAATGTTTGAGAAACGGCTATTGAAACAACCTCCAATCAGCTGATGGATCGTGCAAAGAGGGAATGGGAAGTGTTAGGGAGGAAACCGAGACGTTACATGTGAGCACGTGACCTCTGCCTCAGGGATTAGACACCGTTGGAATAACAATACATATTTCCTATTATAAACATTACTATTTGTCTTCCTTTTCTACAGTTATTACCCTTACGCACACACATTTGTGTATGGTTATGTGTGTGTGTGTGTATAATATATGTATATATATATATATATATATATATATATATATATATATATATAATATATATATATGTAATGTATGTATGTATGTATGTATGTATGTATGTATGTATGTATATATATAATATTATATATATATATATATATATATATATAATATATATATATATATATAATATATATATATACATATATATATATGTATATAAATATATATAAATATATAATATATAATATAATATATATATATATATAACATGTGTGTGTGTGTGTGTGTGTGTGTGTGTGTGTGTGTGTTGTGTGTGTGTGTGTGTGTGTGTGTGTGTGTGTGTGTGTGTGTGTGTGTGTGTGTGTGTGTGTGTGTGTGTGTGTGTGTGTGTGTAGGAAATCATCATTAATGGAAGTATGATATCTTTTGCAATATTTAATTGTTCTTATTTCCTGAAGTGCATTATTTCAGAAATGCAGTGTTCACTAACGAGCAACATACTAAAAACTATTTAACATCTACTGGTATATTGTATTCTCATAAACTGTATCTTCCCATAATCACCTTGTGTCATGATTACCTTGTCAATTTGTCATTAATCATCAACTGGTCAAGAACGTCTTCGTTAATAAGAAAAGAAAATCAAGGAAATATATAGTAAACTTGTAACACTACTATGGATCAATAAGTCTTAATAGAATTTTAACATAAATATTTTCAAGGGAAAGCGAGCCATATTATTCAATGTAAACCTACTTTCTTACAGGGCGATGTATCTGATGAACGGCAATCTGATTTTTCCATAAGTAAATTTAGCAGATAAACTCAATGTACTTTTCTCAAAGTAAACCATTCGAAATTACCACTGATCTTTTTTCGTGTTAAAAACATGGTAACACATATAAGGTAACAAATTTTGTTTAAAGCTGTAGATCAGAAAACTAAGATTATCGTACATAATTACCAAACACACCATATCTACCTTTAGAAAGTGTATGCACCTAAACAACAACAATTACCAGAAAAATAAAAAAAACATACGGCCAACAAAATTCAAATAAAAGAATAATATCATTGTTTTCTTACTATTTACAGAAAGTACGATAACTTTTCCGCTGCGTACGATAGTCAAATCAAAACCAAAACAAACGGGACAACATCGTGGCGAGGTTGTCCCCACAACACGTGTCTCTCTGTGAAATTTCTACTTATTTTCTCCTTACAGTTGTTTACAAGGAAGGAAATATGGATTATATTACGCCTGGAGCACCGACTGTTGGTGTGATGTAAGTTGATTTTTATTAGATATGATGTTATGGGAGGGAATGAAAGAAATGTGGAAAGTTGCATAATGTTAGGCGATAAAGTATGACATTTCTTTTCTAATTTTTTTATTTACCCATAATTGCACTATCATAATTTACCAAGATAGGAGTTTCTTTTGCCATGTCCATAAGTTATAAATCTTGCTAATAGTTCAGGAAGATTTGTAGTTACATTTGCAGTTGTTGAAATATCGAGGGATGTCAAGTAGTAATTTGTTTTAATCTTATTAATCATATCAAAGTTTTAAGCGACAAGTACCTACTAAAAATTCTCTTGGTCCCTTAGCCTGTGTTGTGACTGTGGTGCGGCAATCCAGCCCAACCCGACCAACAGATGCATTGCCTGCCTGCGAGCGCGCAATGACATCTCAGAGGGTATCCCCAAGCAGGGAAACCTCCACTTCTGCAAGGGGTGCGAGCGATACCTAGAACCCCCGTCTACGTGGGTGTTTGCTCCCCTTGAGTCAAAAGAGCTGCTGCGCCTCTGTCTTAAGAAGCTCAAAGGACTCAACAAAGTGCGTCTTGTCGATGCAGGGTTTGCGTGGACTGAACCTCATTCAAAGAGGATAAAGGTAAGGAAGAAATACAATTTACAAATAATGCTATTGTTTAAGTGACTATAAATCCTTGGTACTAATGGCTTTTGTTATGCTTTTATTATTTTAGGGATAATTATAGGTATCCATGTATCTAATATATTTACCTTTTGAACATTTGATCTCAATTGAATGAAAGTACAGATTGTGACAGTAACTATAAAAGAAAAGTCTATGGGATGTTAAATATATAGAAATGCTCATTCTCTTTCCCTCTCCTCTCCTCTTATAAAATGTATAAATCTTATAATGATACAGGCGTGATTTCTCATGTAAGTGAAATTATTATTTTATTTTTTTACCAGGTCAAATTGAGTGTGCAGAAGGAAATTCAAGAAGGAGCTGTTCTGCAACAAGATTTCATTGTAGAATTCTTGGTAACAGGCCAGATGTGTGATGACTGTCACAGAGTCGAAGCTAAGGATTACTGGCAAGCAGTGGTCCAGGTAAGCAACAGTAACAGAACAACAGTAACAGCAATAAAAATAACATTGACTGTAACAGCTGCAGCTATAATAAGATAGAGGAAGCAATAAACTCATACTTGTTTTAAGCAGCTTCAAAATGGTTGAGTAACAATGCATGGTATTAAAATAATTCCTATCAGATTGATTGTAACTTGAAATACAGATTATGAAAGTATTTGTGTGATTTAAGAGGGACAACTATGTTGTATATTGCAGGTGAGACAAAAAACTGACCACAAAAGAACATTCTACTACCTAGAACAGTTGATTCTGAAGCACAGAGCCCACGAAAAGACCCTTGGCATCAAGCCAGTGCATGGTAAGTTTCTATAATGTATTATGATGGAGTAAAATTATTTATTGTGTTCTGCATCATCAGCTTCAGTATCAACGTTTCAGTAAAGAATATTCAATCCAAATTTATCTTTTTACTTTCCAGAGGGACTAGATTTCTTCTATTCCTTCGAGCCTTATGCTAGAAAGCTGCTAGACTTCTTTTCATCTGTGGTACCCTGCCGTTGGACGCAGTCAAAGAAGCTTATCTCCCATGACATCCATTCCAATACATACAATTACAAACACACATTCAGGTGAGGACACGATCATCTCATCAGTGAGTGGGAATAAAGAGTCCTTTTGTGGTTTAGTCTGTGATTGCAAGATAGCAACAGAAAGCATTTTTGTTACTCCTTACTTTCTTTGACTGCTTTCAGTATTTTGGACTTTGTGTAAATGTGATCATATTAATTGAAGCATTTCATATGAATGCATCAAGCTAATCTGAATATACTAAGGCAAAATTTCTCTTCCAGTGTTGAGATTGTACCAGTTTGTAAAGACAGTGTGGTGTGCCTGTCTTCCAAAATGGCGCATCAGCTTGGAGGAATCGGACAGATTTGCATAGTACATCGTATTACTAATGTAATATGTCTAATAGACCCAAATACTGCCCAGAGTAAGGAAACTATATTACATTTTTCTCTTTTTCACTTGTTTGTATGGAGAAGATATGAATATACTGGTATGATTGTCAGATATTTATTCTATTATAAACATTATAAGACTGTTTATGGGGAAAAGGAGATAAAGGAAATTGCTTATCTTTTTGCTAGTGGCTGAACTGAATAGCAGCACATACTGGAAAGCTCCATTCAGGGCTCTCTGCACATCCAAGAAGCTAATCGAATTTATTGTGATGGACATTTCTGAGGCTGAGGTGAAGCGATTCAAGGGCCAAGGACACATATCTACAAAGGCAAGTAGCACGAGTACTTCTTATTTTGCTGTTGGGAGGTCTTGATCCTGTTGTATGAGTTAGATTTTACAATGGAAATAGTATAAAGATCTTTTTTTCTCCTCCCATAGCATCAGGTAGCCGAAGTCTGGGTGCAGCGGGAGAGCGAGCTGGGAACGGACAATATGCTCTTCTGTCGAACTCATCTTGGTCACCTCCTTCATCCTGGGGACACAGTCTTAGGGTAAAGTTGCTTTAGCTTTTTGTTTGTATTGATAGTGTTGTTAGTTTTATTATTCTAATATTGTGCTGTTAATTATTACTTCTATATCGTTGTTTGGTAATATTTTTAAAGACATTTAATAATTTTGAAAAGCTGTTTTACTTTTTACATTTTCCTTTCGCTTTCATTGATTAACTACATAAATACACACGGATATACATTTTGCATTTTCAAACAGATTCGACATGTCTACATCTAATGTCAACGATGACAACATAGACAAGATGAATGCAGATCATGTGCCTGATGTTGTGTTGGTCAAGAAGGTATATGCTGACAAGGCCACCCGCAATCGCAGACGTCGTTTCAAGTTGCGACATCTCGGTCTGGATGATGATACAAACAGTCAAAATAAGTGAGTAGTTTGAGCCTTTGCTTGTGCTTCATGGCTTTTGAATTAAATTGTTTAGAATTTATGTATCTTTACGTATAGTGAATTTATTTTAGAGTATATAGCAAGTTTTATGTATATAATGTTGTCTTTGCTTGTCTTAACTTCTAGATATATTTTTCTTTTCTATTTTATTCATTATTGTCTCTTACTACTAATTTTTTTTCTGAAGATTTATTGTCTTTGGTTTCTTAAAACAATCTTGTTTTCCTGTTCTAGGGATTATATTGACTTCCTGGAGGACCTGGAGGAAGATCAGCAGCTGCGACACAACGTCAACATCTACCGTGATGCCAACAAACTCCAGAACACAGACACAGAGAGCGAAGCTGGTGAGGTGCCCAGGATCGGCCTTGAGGAGATGCTGGACGACCTGCAGATTGACATGGAAGCGGCAGGAGGGAATGATGATGATGAGGAGGAGGAGATGGATGAGTGAGCAATGACATGGATATAGAAATAAATAGATATCATGGATGAAGGTCATGGAAGAGTAGATGAATGATTGAAAACAAGAGAAAAGTATGCATGCAAAGAAATACCTCTAAAGAATGAAGAGATGATGATTGAGAGAGTGACATTGACAATGAAAGGAAGGCAGGAAATTGGTTGAAACTGTTGAAACGTCTTGTGAGGAAGGCGATACCCATAGTTTTGAGGACAGGGTAAGGAAGGAGATGACATAACTTGATAAAAGAATTGGACAGCTGGGAAAAGTGATAACAGAAATGGTGGCAATTGGAATGTTGAAAGGATGGAAAAATAAATGAACTTGGTTAGGAGTTTTGGTAATATATCCAGAAAAAAAAACTATTTTAGTGTGATGTGTAAAAGGTTTTGGTGAATGTTGTGTTGTTTTTGTGCAAAGGAATATCTTGTCTTGTAAGAATGGTACAAAAGTACAAGATTGACTGTAGAGTTAAGTAAATGAAAAAAAGAATCCTATCACAACTAGTGTCCTATAATAAGTTAATATGTTTAATCTTTGTTGTGTAGTGAAATAAGATTATTTATGAAATATCGTTGGGCCAGGTACTGGTCTTCCGAGGTTGCTTTTGTATCATTTTCTCTTACCCTTTACTGCCAATGATAGAAATGTGTATATATAAATTGAAGGTATACATCTTGGTAACTTTAATGGAATATATATATGTATTTAAATATTCTAACCATAAAATTTTGTACATAAACTTAAAGTGTATTGATTTATTCCTATTAATACAAAAAACTCTTATAGTGTAAATAAGGTTAAAAAAAAAAAAAAAAAAAAAAAAAAAAAAAAAAAAAAAGTCCTTTAAAATTTCAATAGCAGTGAGGTAACCAGGATTGTCTTAAGTGTGTAATTCATAAGTGATTTTTTTTTTTTTAAATTCTGCATTGTAGCAGACTTTGCCAGTTTACCTGGCAAAGTGTGTGTCATTTACTTATTTATTGAATATTTTCAATAAGTAAAGTAGTAGCTTACACAAAATATAGCAATAGGCAAGGCTCAGGGGCACAGCTCCCGGCTAAGGAAAGGCCATAAAGCATTATGACAAAGTATTGTAGCAGAAAGGTAATTCATTTCTTTAACAATTAGGACTAAATATGTTGAAGGCTGTAGTGAGCACTGTAGATTAGTAAGACAGTGAAAATGGTAAAGAGGAAATAACAAATGGAGTACAATGGCTGTTCAGGACTGACACAAAGCCAGCCTTTCATCCTGGCTCTTACACTTTAGTATGTAGACAGAAGGGGATGAAGAGAAGGAAAAAGAAAAGTGGAGAAGAAAGTATTATACATAATTAGTTGAGACAAGGGCTGAGGGCCAAGGTCCCCATCCTAAGCCCCTCCAGGACAACAATGGGCATGGGATTGGCAGGGGTCTCTCATACATACAGCGGTGCTTGTGCCTGGGAGGGTCATCTATCCATACCTAACAGCAAGCAGTCAACCTACCAGGCAGATGGCCTTCTCTGGTGATTATGCCTGACCTAGAGCTTGGCATTGAATTATTTATAGAAAATTTTCTGCTGCTTCAACATCTAGGGTCATTAGTAGTGTATTCAAAATGTAGCGATAGGGTGAGGAAGATTTTTTTTTGTTGATAAGGCAATGGTTATGGATTCCCAGGATGGTTAATGGTCAAAATGAATGTAACTGACAAAAGTTATACAGCACTATGATAAAGTATTGTGAAAAGATTAAATATAAGTTAATGATTAGGACAAAATATTTTGATAAAAGATTGTAGAGCACTGAAAGTTAGTATGGTAGGGAAAAGGGTAGAGAAGGAAGAGCAAACACAGTATGGACATTCAAGACTGACACAGCCATCCTTTCAGCAAGGGTCTCACACTTTCATATGTAGACAGAAGGGAATGAAGTAGAGAAGGAAAATGAAAGGGGGAGAAGAAAACTCATGCAAATTAAGTTGAGGTCCTAGGTCCTCATTCTGCCTCCTAAGCTCCCCCATAACAACGGGCAAAAAATTTGGTAGCTCCTTTGATTTGCCCAAAGAAGCCAGCATTAAACATGTGCTTGTGTTGATGGGGCCTAAGCTCGACCTATCTTCAGAGGAATTTGGTAAAACTCAAATTGGAAGTAAGCTTTATAACACTGATGGGTTATGGTCAACTATCAAAATTCTCAGTTGATTAAAACCAGTGTCAAAAGCCTATCATGATTTTTTAAAAATCCAAATATCAGTGTATCAATCACAAGGGGTTAGGTTTAAAATGCCTTGCGTGTTATAACCACCATGAAAAGTTTACTTGTAAAGGTATATTGGTCTGAAATGCATCTAGCTACCAACCTATTTTATTACATTTTCCAAATATCTAGGACTATTCACACTTCAATGAGTAGAAATTGTAGTACATTATATGTTACCACATTTGGGCAATAATTCTATTACAGTGTAGTTACATGTTACTGTGTCTCATAGGTAGGGTAAGGAATGGCACTTAGTAATTTCTTTGAAGAATTCTTGTTTTCTTTATGACAATTTTTCAAGTACTACTGGTATATTTTTTCCAGTATATTTGTTTTCATTGGGTTTTCTTATTCTGCATTTTTTTCCTTGTATACTAAAACTATAAATCTCTACTGTAGCAGACAAATAATTCAATACAAGTTCGCCCTATACTACAACTGTAATAAGTTTACCAAAGGTTTATATCAATTCTGGTGTATAACCCTCTGCTATCTCTCTCTCCTCAATTTGTATATGTACATATATTGTACCAATTACAATTAATAGCTATTGCATTGGCAATGTTATTTGTTATTGCCCACATACTAGTTGGATCAGAGATCAAGTTTGTGGTATAAATAGGAAAAATCTAAGGGGAGAGTTATTAGCCAAGCTGATCACTTTAAACTTTCTCTTTTCCTCTCTGAGTTAAATAAAGTCCTTTTGGTACTGGTGGATCACAAATTGTAACAATTTCTTGTGGGCGAGTTGGAATAATCATTTACTTTGTGAAAACTGTATCATCTCTTCTTTAATGAATTGTGTAGAAAAGGATACTGATATAAAATATAACTGCTAAATATTTATTTCTCCCAAAACAGATCTTACAATTATTACTTCAGAAACAGTATGCATAAGCAGTACTTGGGAGCTCCACTTTCATCATGATTAGTGGCCATCTTGAAGTTTCAAACAGAACTGGATTATCTGCTTATTTCAACTCTGCAATGAAAGGAAAGCACAAAGTCAGCATATGGAGTTGATGTAAACAAAGTAAATGCATATATTTGTTTCATAAAGTCAGCCGAGTACATTCAACACATTAATCTGTCCGCCCGTACGCATTATCATCACGAAAATATTTTTCACCATTACATTAATTTTCAAAAGTAGGTGTTAAATGGCCAAAAATTTCAGGAGTCAACTTACTAGTCTGTATTCACTGTCTTGCTCTATCAAAGGAAAAGAACCACAGTTCATCCATGTTGAACAATGGAGCATTTTGCATGTGAATACTCGCTTACTTGCATTATTGAAAGCCATGCAGCCATCTAGAAAATAAAAAGGTAGAATTTTAATTAAGGATTCATTAAACAGTTAAAAATATTCACTCCTCTATGCAATCAGAAATGTACAGTCAACAATATTAATCTGTCCGCCCGTACGCATTATCATCACATTATCAATACAATTGTTCAAATACAGGTGTAACAGTCAAGAACTTGAGCAGCTTTAACTTACCCATCCAAAGTCACTGGAGTCTTGCCCTCTACTCCCCAAAGATTTGGGACCATCCACGTCGAAAATAGGGGATCCCACATTGTAAAAACTCCACTTGATAACTGATTTCCTTTCAAGGCCATGGTAATCTTATGAAGTAATTCTAGAAGAAAGAGGGAAAGATATTTTACTCCAATTCATATAAAATTGGAAAATATTAAACTCACTATGCAATCAGAAATGTACAGTCAACAATATGAATCTGTCCGCCCGTACGCATTATCATCAGACAATTTCTCCCCTTTCCTTAATTAGGATATAGCACAATACAATTACATTGGTTCATTCTAACACAAAAGAACATTATCTCCATGCTTAGTACATGAAGTATCTGAGAAAAATGCTCATACTCACCATTCAGAAAAAGATAGCTGCAACATTTATGGTATCTTCTGTATCCCAGTGTCAGTCTAAGCAGATGTGTTGCCAAGTGTGCATATCAAAACCACCTAAGAAAAACATGTCAAACTCATGAAAACTTTATACGAAAAACACTCATTTTATATCTTTTTATCTTCAGTAATACAAAGTCATTTTGCAAAGTATTAACCCTTTGTATGCAGTCACTATGTAGATTTAATAAAATTATGTCTGTTTCATTTTAGTCACGCTCTGAGGGTTGATACAGTTATTAATGACATCTTTATAACATTAAAATGATAACTGGTGAACAAGTATGCCACCTTTGCAAAAAAAAAAAAAAAAAAAAAAATCACAATGGACAAGGTATGTATGCTATGTCATCCTAGTACAAAGGGTTAAAGTGTCTACCAGATATAGCTAGTAAAACAAAAGAACTTTACCTTGCATTCTGAAGCAATTCATCAGCAATATCAGACAAAGAAAAAAAAAAAAAGTACAACATACAATGCCAAGGATTCAGTCAGTTTCAGATTCATTTACTGGTTTACTTACACTGGAAAAAAAAATGCAAGGATGCATTCCTCCTACTTATACACTTTTCCTCTTGTTACTCATCCTGTTTGAAAAGAATTATTATACATCTGGGCAAATCATCAAAGTTTGCTGGAGTGTCCAAATGTTTTCTGAAACATTTCTACAAAATTCTAAACAATGGGGATCTTAAGAATGAGAAATCGACTATTAGATAATCTTTCCTTGATGCATTTGAACAATTTCACTCGTTTTTCTATGTAGGAGGACAATGAAACGCTTTGTTTTTTTTTTCCGCTTTAATTCCCCTAACAGTAGCCATGATGATTCTTGTATTTGGCCTTGTAGAAGAATCTGCAAGAGGAAAATTTCCTTGTAAGAAAAACCACAAGAGAAAAATCCTATTCCATAAAACATGAACTGCAATAATCAGATAGGAACGTTCAACAGCATTTTTATGTCCGCCCGTTCGCATTATCATCACAAAATCAAAAGTAGCACCAAAATGTCCATATACTAACTTATGCGACGAGCACACATGCACCACCAACAGCCTTGATCTTGTTTTCAGCTTTGCGAGAGAAGAACTTGGCCTTGACAATAACAGGCTGCTTGGGGAGGTCACCCTTGCCGAGGACCTTGAAGTATCCCTAGAAAAGAAAAAATAGTTAATAAAATGCTAAAATCAAGAGATTATTTTCTACAGTCAACAAAATCAGATATGTACGCTCAACAGTATTATTCTGTCCGCCCGTACGCATTATCATCATACAGAAACTATCACCTGCTTGAATAGCCTTTTGTAGTGATACCCTCCTTTACTTTTATGCTGTGTATGAGCATTGAGATATTTCAATGACAAATAGCTCATCCAATAACAATGGCTGATGCAGCTAATTTTATCAGTACTTTGTGTCTTGTGTTGATCACTGAATTCGATCACCAAATTCCATTACTGATAAGGTGAACCTATAATGTTCAGACAATTGGTTTAAAAAGAACAAATTACATTTGCAGCCACTACCACTTATGCTGCATACTTACCGATTTAAGAACATTGATGACTGGGGCCTTTTTAGATTCCTTTGCGTATTTCTCCCTAGTCTGCTCAGACACAAGGGACCAGAGTTTGTCCAGGTTGATGATAGGAGCATACTTTGTGTTGGGCTTGGCGTGGAAGTTTCTCATACCAACCTGCAAAGTACAGGAAATTAGTTTTATTGTGGAGGGGTGAGGATAAGAGGGAGAGTAATGATGGTACACAAAATCAAACCAAATCAAATTCAAACTTTCCAAGATCTCACCTTGCCGAAGTAACCAGGATGGTATTTGTCAAAGTTGATTCTGTGGTGATGCATGCCACCAGCGTTACCGCGACCTCCAGGGTGCTTGCGGTGTTTGCCTGTAATGGAAATCCACAAGTTCTAGTATTCGTAAATTACACAAATTCCCCCTAACTGCCAATGATAGGCAAGTTCTCTTAACTGGAGCACCAAGGTATATCCTGATACCCACGTCTATCTAAGTTTGTCTATTTTCCCAATGAAATCAAAAAGGTCAATTCTGAATTCAGTAATACTAGATTATTTTTTATCAAAAGTTCCCCCTCGAATTCAATTTACTCTTTTTAAAGAATTCTGAGTACTTACCGATACGGCCATGACCGTGGCTGACATGTCCACGGAGCTTCCTGGTCTTCTTCTTGGTGGTAGCCTGAGGAAAAAGATCACCATCAAGGATCAGATTGTGAAGCAAGTTTTAACATTTCAAGAGATAACTGGCGTACATTTGCTTAAGGCATGACTACCACATGTGTAATTCATTTTGGAAATAAGTGTACAACAAATTGGAGGGGGGGGGGGTTGCAATGTGGGTATTTTATTAACTAAATAGTCTGTTTACAGTTCCCACAAGCAATGGCCAGAAAAGGAAACCACCACCTTTGAGAGTATATGAAACACTCAAACAACACAGGTAATCCTGCAGTGGCCCCATTTCCCACAAAAATATCCATTGCATATCAGTGCTCAGACACCCAAGTCCAGAATTTCTAAAGTACTTTCTTTAAGTTGACATGAAGTGCTAATAAAAAGGGGGTACAAAGGGGGGCTTGCCTCCTCTGTTTAAGGAATAAAAAAAAGCTAGGAAAGATTAAGTTAGGATATTAGGGTTCCCATGATACCCATGTGTTGAGACTGTCTCTGGAGGGTGTTACTCTCAGTAACAAATACTTTATCCAAGTGGCTGGATATAATGACATGCAAGATGCATGCATGAACGAAATGTATAAACTAATGTTGGTTGTGATCTCTTGTCTAGTTCAAATTCATCTTTGTAAAACATTTACATTGATCAGAATTTTAAAAACTTTGCAACCCACTGGAAGGGAACTTTTAACCAGTTCCTTTAAATACATGTGGCTGCAAGGCATATCCACAGTGTAACCTTTTAAGGTTACTTTGAATAAATAAATTTTTGCAAAGTTAAGGCATCTCCATTGGGGGGAAAAAAAAAAAACGGAAAAGATATAGTGCCTTCTATTAAAAGGAAGTGCAACCTAATACTTCTGAGGTATTGTAAAATAAACAGTTTCAAGCATTTGCACAATGGCACCCATCTTTAGCACTATGACAGACCAACAAACCACCACTATAGTCCTACACAATACAACTTTTACAGCATCTTAGTTAACAGCTGTCAAATCACGATGTCCCTTATAGGTTCCTTTGCTTTTATCACAGATGCATAGGTAAATAAGTCTACAAGATATCTTATCATGGGAGCACATTTTACGGATCTCAGATATCTCAATGCACGCAATATCAATAGCTTCCCGTTCATTTTCCTTTGCTCATTTTTTTGCAAATAGTAAAAGATAGTACATATATTCTATTTTTTGTAAAGATTTTAAGTATTGTAAACATACAATCACCAGATTGGAAAGTTTGTAATGCAAGGTGGAGATTTATATTTGCACAATTACAAAAGGCCTGGCACAAGATACCAAATGTGGCTCCAATAGCCATAAGTGCTTTTCATTTAAGCAAAAAGATGATGCATCACAAATATGACAAATGTGATAATTAGAAACTTACACTCCAGAAAGTTTACGTTCAAGTTATTACGTGTACCTGCATGATAATACATTCCAGATGCACAAGACAAAGATACATGCCATCAACCATGCAGTTTGCCAACGTCCCAATCTGGTAATAACATTTGACATGTGCTACTTATAAATACTCACAACAATTTTACGTTAATTTAAATCCATTCACTCCATTTTCAGACTAACCAGAAAATATTTCAATAACCAAGATATAGACATCTGCAAAATATCAAATGGACACCTAGTGCGTAATCGTGACATTGCACACGTTGAGAACAACTTCTATACTATCCATTCATTTTTCACAAAAAATTGTAGCAAAAATATTTTCAACGAATATCAATGATAATTTCGCTAAACTGGATTCATAGGCCATGGGAAGCTTATGGATACGGAAACTAAAAGATATAGGTCTATCGTGCATTTTTCATTCCGAGAACACATGGGAGCACAAGAGAGTTAATTCATAACGAGTCCTATGGTTACAATTTCAAGCTTTCCATTCCATTTCAAGCAAGAAATAACATGACAAACACATGACATAAAAACCAAGAAGATAGCGATTACTTTACAACTGTGTGGTTCGAGATACGATCAGTTGTATGAATTTTTAAAAATTAAAATGGGATTTTTAACTAAAAAAACGATTTAACTATATTACGAACATGAACGTTTTACATTGTCAAAACTCTTGAAACCGACATGTGAACTTTGAACAAATCCGGGAACCAAAGTCGAAATTTACACTACTAACACATTTACGATTAGCGTTCACTTAAAAATATAACGAATATGGATATTCTACTTGGTTCTAACACTCTTGGATAAATTAACTGGGGTGTTTTGCGTCTAAATAAACTTTCGCCAGATATCCATGTTGTCACTCCGCTCTCCTTCCATGCCTTGGCGGAGAAACAAACCCATTACCGAGTTTTATCACGAAATATCACTTAATCCATAGACACATCGCCCTTAATTTTATATCGATAGCATTCTCCATTGTGCTAAATACACTCTAAGAAATTATTTCACTCGAGTTTAGTCAAGAGAACACGTATAAATCTAGAAATAAGACGATCACTTGCCGCTCCGTACCATGTTTTCGGCTCTGTTTACTGAAGAGAGTGATCCAGCGCCATCTATCGGCAGGTAAACAACGTCAGCGGTTTATAGCAAATGCCTTTTGGGAATCCACGCGAACAAAATTTCAATTTAATATCATAATAAGAGTTTTCAATTTTTATAGATACTTTAGGTGTGGTTGTATACGATTATTTATCGTTTATCTGTATATGATAAAATGCTTTGGAATAATAACTTTCTGGTTGGGAAAAAAAAAGTGATTTTTCTTCATGTAATAGGAATTATAAGATCTATTTTGCTTGGATGAAACTACAACTAAAAGAATATATAACTAATATCACCAACAATACATACACCACCAGTTCTTCGTAGAAGACACGCCATTAACATTTGATTTTCGAATTAATATTATTATCATTATTCTTTAATCTACAGTAAATCTTCAGTTTATTAATCAATCATGAACTGACTGTATATTTTCAAAAAACAAAGCTCGTCTATTGGTTTCTTTTTCCAAGATTAGATAACGGAATAAATCAAGTTAACGTTGATGTTTTTGGATTAAATTACAAAGCAATTCATCTTTCAAAATTATTATTATCATTATTATTATTATTATTATTATTATTATTATTATTATTATTATTATTATTATTATTATTATATTATTATTATTATTATTATTATTATTAT